GAGGGAGACAGAGAGGAGGGAGGAAGGGGGAATGAGGGAGGAAGAGAGATTTTGTTTCTATATACATATATATATATACACATGCAAAGAAAAGTAGTATATATGAATCTGTATATGTGTGTATATACATACACATATCCACAAACATGGAACTGCATATACCCTTTTTCTTTGTGGGTATATATATGAATACACATGCACATCTATCTAGTGAATAGCTACATATATGAGAGAGAGAAGTATACATATGTGTGTATACACACACACACACACACACAGAGATTGGTGGTTAAATGTGAATATACAGATTTAGAATTGGAAAGGACCTTAATGCCTATTGAGTTAAACGCCCTCATTTACAGATAAGGAAACTGATAAGACTCAAAGAGTTGAAGAGAGTTGCCCAGCATCTTACAACTAATAAATGTCTGAGGAAAGATTTGAATGCAGATCTTCCTTACTCTGAGGACAGTGCTTTATACCCTGTTGCCTCTCATCATTGAGTTGTTGCAGAGGTAATTTAAAATAATGCACAGAACCTGGTTTGTAATCCTTAAAGTGCTATTTAATCACTTTACTGCATCACCTATGTTTCTGGCTCAGCCAGGGAGTGTCAGAGGGAGGTCTTGAAACCTTTTCTTATTGATTCCAAACCTAGTTTTCCAATCACTATGCAATAGTGCTCCTCTGCATATGGTATGTGGATATACATGGAGATATACACACATACAGACATACACATCTATCTATAGTATATACATATATAAATATAGATGCAGTATATTTGTGTATATGTGTACATATGTATATAGATATAGCAGCTAGGTGACACAGTGGATTGAGTGCTAGGCCTGGAGTCAGAAAGACTCATTTTCCTGAGTTCGAATCTGGCTTCAGACACTTACTAGCTATGTGACCCTAAACAAGCCACTTAACTGTGTTACCTCAGTTTCCTCATCTGTAAAATGAGCTAGAGATGGAAATGTCAAACCATTCTAGTATCTTTCAAACAAAACCCCAAATGGGGTCATGAAGAGTCAGACATGACTGAAAAAATTGACTGATATGTATATAAGCATACACACACACACACAATTATATATGTATACAAATATATACACGTGCATATATATGTATACATATATATATACACATACACAAATGTGTGTATATAATAGTTAACTGCTTACTATATGCCAGGCATAGTGCTAAGTGTTTTGCAATTATTATCTCATTTAATCCTCACAACAACCCTTGAAGGTAGTTGCTATTATTATTTCCATTTAACATATGAGGCAGTTGAGGCAAACAAAGGTTAAGTGACTTGCTTAGGGTCACACAGCAAGTGTTTGAGGCCAGATTTTAACTCAGGCCTTCCTGAATTTGGGCCTGGTACTCTATCCACTGTGCTGACTAGCTGATCCCTACCTTGTATAGTTATAGGTATACTTATATATATATACACATATAGAATATACTTACAGATGTATACAAATCATATGGAGAGGCACAGCATTGCATCAGTGATTGGAGAACTAGGTTTGGAATCAATGAGACCAAGGTTCAAGACTTCCCTCTGACCCTCCCTGGCTGGGTTGGAAACATAGATGAGGTAGTATAGTGCATGGAGTACTTAAATAGCACTCTAAGGGTTGTAAACCTGGTTATGCACATTATCTCAAATGACCTCTACAACAACCTGATGATGAAAGGAAGCAGGGTGTAATAGATAAACATTGCACTTAGAGTAAGGAAGATCTGAGTTCAAATCTTGTCTCAGACATTCATTAGATATCAGTTCACCTTTTTGAAGCTCAGCTTCTTTTTCTGACTCATTCCAATAAAATGAGAGGGTTGGACCTGATGGTCTCTAAGGTCCTTTCTAGCCCTAAATCTATGATGCTATAATAATCCTATGACCACAGACAAGTCACATAATCTGTAATTGCTCCAAGCAGTTCTGAGAGTATAAATCACAGTATATGCCAACATGTATTGGTAAAGGTAGTTTCCCATACCACTGAAATCATAGACCTGGTATATATGTATATCCATTCTTATGTATCTTATGCGTGGGAGGCAATCAAAGCTTTCTGCAGTCTGATCCCTACCTGCTTGTGTGGTACTATTCAATTTAATTCATTGTACTTCAGTTCAACAAAGTCATTAATTGGCTACTTTAGGCAGAATATTGTACTGGGTATTGAGGAAGATAAGACTATTCTTGTCTTCCAGAATAGAAGGAGGATAAAATATTTAAACAACAATAATTATGCTACATAATAATATATGGAAGGCTTCATTGAAGGAGTGGTATTTGATATGGGATTAAATGGCTGGAGAAGCATCCAATAGGCAAAGTGGCTAAAAGAACATTCAAAGTTTGGGAAGAGTGTGGACATTGGTAGGAAGGTGAAAAAGTACAAGGAATGCTTGAGGAAAAGGGCATGGTGCCATTTGGCTGGGATGTAGAGCACATGAGGAGAAGATCATGAAAGATCTTTAATGAAAGGCCAGGACACTTTGATGTTGTTTGGTAAGCAGTAGGAAACCACTGAAGAATTTTAAGCAAGAGTGACATGAAAAGATGTAAACTAAATTACAGTAAAAGTGAACTATTTGCTGTTCCCTGAACATATCCTGATCTTTCTTGCCTGTGAATCTTTTTTCAGGATATGCCTTTACTCCTGCTGAATATCCTTCTTCTCCTCTGACACTCCTTTCCATAATCACCTATTAGAATCCTGCCCATCCTACAAGACACAGGTCAAGTTCCTTCATGAATTAATCAAATCTAATTTAGTAAAGGTTTATGAAGCCTTTCTGCTGAGCAAGGGACATTGTGCTACACACTGGGACCATGCAAACAAATTTAAATGGTCCTTAACTTCAAGGACCTCACATTTCTGTTGGATGGACTTAACAAGTCTACAGAAAAATAAATATAAGATAATTTGAAGAGGGAGAAAGAATTCACAGTGCTCTATCAGTTGTGTCACCTGGTTGCCCTGACTTACATATATTGATTCTAATTCTACTTTCTCAAACAGCTAAGTCTACTTACTCTTCCAATTGAGAATCCTTCAAATATTTGAAGGTGACTTTCATGACTCCCTAAGTTTTTTTTCCAAGCTATAAACATTCCTTGATGACAAAAAAAATTCATGTTTTTCCAACTTCTCCCAATGTTGGTTACCCTTCTCTTGACAGACTCCAAACTGAATCTTGCCCTTCTAATCTGTGGGACCTTTAACTCAACACAATACTCCAGATGTGGATCATCTCAGTCAAATATGTTTCGCTTTGGTGTAGTAGAGCATGAATTGACTTTTAACTCATAGGATCTGGGTTTGAATCCTGGTTCTACTTACTGCCAGAGTTAGATAAGACACCACCCCTCTTTGAGCTTCAGTTTCCTTCTTTGTAAAATAAGGAAGTTAGACTAGATGGTCTCTGATATCTCTTCCAGCTCTAAATTCTATTATCACTTAAGGATCTATCATTCTTTTTAGATGTTCTGTGCTTCTTTGGCACCCATCATGTACACTGTCTTGCTGTCTTATCTTCTTTATTCAATTGTAAACCCCTAAAGGGCAAGTATGTCCCCAATTCATCTTTGTGCCTAGCACAATGCTTCTACTTTGTAATTTTGCATACTAGGATGGAAGTTGGTAGCTAGTTAGAGAGAAATTAGTTCATGCATTTGGGAAGATATGATGTCTTATTAGAAACATTTCTGAAAAAATACAACCTGAAAGTTTCTCTAAACCAAATAAAGAGAGTCCTAGAATCATTGAGCCTTAGAATTAGAAGGGATATCAAATGCCATTTAGTCCAATGCATATTCTGTTGAACAACATATTAAGACAAATGGTCATTATGACTCTGGTGGAATAGAAATAATTGTCTGATGTAACATGTCATTTATATCTAGTTCTCCTAAAGAAGAAAACCAGTAATACTATGAAATGCACATGAGTCTCACCTTGGTCAAAGGAAAGAGCATTGGCCCTGGAGTTAGAGGACCGGAGTTCAAATCCTACCTCTGACACTTACTACCTGTTTTGGCCAAACCCTAGGAGGAGAAGGGAAAAAGAAAAATGAGGTAGATAAAAGTACTAGCACTAGTACTAGTACTTAAATCAGTTTTGCTACAAACATCTTTATTATATGCATGAAATACATAGATACAAATGCATTCTTCATTCTTTAAATCCTTGCTTCCCAAGACAGGTATGGGGCAAGTACCTTATCTGATTGAGATAGGTATGGAAGGGGACAAGTAGGTGGTATAATGGATAGAATACTGGGCTTAGAATCAGAAAGACTCATCTTTCTGAGTTCAAATCTGGCCTCAGACACTTAGTAGCTGTGTGACCCTACACAAGTCTCAGACCCTGCTTGCCTCAGTTCCTCATCTGTAAAATGAGCTGGAGCTGGAGAAGGAAATGGCAAACCTTTCCAGTATCTTTGTCAAGAAAACCCCCCAAAAATGGGGTCATGAAGGGTTAAACATTACTGAAACAACTGAACAACAAAAAGGGACTGGAAAGAGGGCAAGGAATTAGCTAATAGGGCTTTTCTGCTAGCTTGGCTAGTGGTCACCCACTTGGGAGCTGGAGAGGCTGTCAGGGAGAGGATCACGTTGCTGAGTGAGTCAATGAAACTGACACAGGCGCCTACAGCAAAGAAAGGGGGAAAGACTGGAGAAGAGAAGGAGGAGAGGGAGAGAGAGAGAAAAAGACACACACACACACACACAGAGAGAGAGAGAGAGAGAGAGAGAGAGAGAGAGAGAGAGAGAGAGAGAACTGGAAAGTGAGCTACTGCTGTCATCAGAGCTCAGCACAAGCAGCAACTCTGATACTCAGGAGCAACAGCAGCTGCTGCAGCAGTGAACAGTGAACAGTTGCCTCCGCCCCATCCCCAAGCTTAGATCCCACCAGTGCACTCTCACGGTCCTGGTCTTGCTGGCTCTTGCTGTGCTGCTGTGCCACAGGATGGAAGATTCCCAGGAGACATCGCCTTCTTCCAACAACTCTTCGGAGGAGCTCAGCTCTGCCCTGCAGCTGTCGAAGGGAATGTCTATCTTCCTCGACGTAAGTACAGATTGGAGGAGTTCCAATCCAAGCAGTAGTACCCCAATCCCCGGTCACCAACCTCTGCAAGTCTTTCGCCCTTTTCCCTTCCTGAAGCCTCTGACTTTTGGTGCTTTGGACTTGTCGGGGTGGGTTGCCCAGAGCCTGCTTTGCCCTGGTTGAGGAGAGCCCAGAGGAGATCATAGATTTATAATTGAAAGGGACCCCAGAGGTCATCTGCATGCTCTTTTTTGTTTGGTTGGTTGGTTCGTTGGTTTGCAAGGATAGAGAATTGTCATAGCCATGTCCTCCAAAGGGAAACCCACAGAGGGAAATATAACACGCAGGAAGTCTTTAAAAACCAACTTTAATAAGGAGCTGTCCAAACCTCCCAGCACTGGACTACGGCATTCCTTAAGAAAGCTCCAGGGTAAACATTTCCAGGTGCTTAGGCTCTCTCACGAGGACCATATGTGAATCACAGCAACCCCCGATCTAGCGATCTAGTGAGTCGGGAAGTTTGAAAGGGATTTCCAAGGAGGATTTCTTACAGGGAGACTTGAGTCAACATATCCTTAGCATCCCATGCCACCTCAACAGCAAATCTCATTGATGCTTGTGGGTCAGGGGGAACAAAAGGAAATGCTACAGAATAAAAAAAAAATCTACCTCCCCCTACTACTCCCCTTAGAGAGCAATTACTCTGAAAGAGTTCAGTTATTGCCAGAATCTTAAGGAGGCATCCTGCTAATTCAGTGTGACAAGTGTTGTTTGTACTAGGCTTTCTTTATATGTGGTGTTTATTGTCATGTCTTTTCATTTCTCTTTCTTTCTGTTGTTCTTGCCATGATTTCTTTCATGGAGTCTCTTTGTATTCTACCTACTGTTTCCCCCCACTTCTCCAGACTTCATGTCAATTCTCCTTCCCTTAGCTCTCTGTTTTGTTGTTGTTTTCTTGCCTTCTACAACATGGCTTTTTCTTTCTCCCAGAATTTCCTCTTTTCTATTTTTACTTTCTTTCCTTTTCTTTCCCACCCTTTGCTTCTCTTTCTTGCTGTTTCATGCTTTTATTTCTGGTATGTTTTCCCACTTGGGCCTTTCTTTGTTTGGCAGTCCCTTGCATCTCACCACTTTTGTTCTGTATAATTTTCTTTATATTAGCTTGTTCTTTACTCTCTTTTGTCTTCCCACCTTTGGTGATTTTTCTTTTCTTTTCCTCCTCTTTTCTCCTTACTATCTGCTTTTTTCTCCCACTTTTCATTTGTGTGGACCCATCTGGGCTACTTCTCATTGGCCCTCAGTTGTCATTTGGGCTTTTGATCCCCCACTTCTCCATCCCTTTTCCAATGAAGGGTGCCATTCTCTGTTTAAAACTACGAAGTATTTGAATGGTCAGCCCTAGTGTTATCTCACAATTGTCTCTTCTTTTTCAATGTAATAAATGTTTATTGAATTGAATTAAACTGATGGAAGAAAGTGGGTAAACAGAGTAAAGACAGCTGTGACATAACAGTATTTTCAGTGCTTTTTTTAATACAGGAGAGTAGAAGACAAAGTAGGAGTAATAGAAGCAGTTAACAGAGGTCTTTTGAAAGCTGGCTTATTACAGGACTGTAGGTTCTTTTGCTCAGGTATGGGAATGAAGTGACATGAGTTTTCAATACAATGATGATTCAAGGGAACCAATTTTTCCATGTTTATTTAAGCAAATCAAGTTATTCATTTTTCTAATGAGAAACAGCTATAGCACTGATCAGGACTTATCTTGGCAAAATTATGAAGAAGGTACAGTTTGTCTTTAGGGTTTACCAGTCTTCCTTTTAGTATCATTCTTTTCTCAATATTCAGGTAGGACCCTCCATTATGGAAATTCACTGAGGAGGAATCACCCTATTTTCTGTCTTTTACCTCTCCTTTTAATTTAATTTAATTTTTTGTTAACTTAAGAATAGTATACAGATTTTCTCCTCCCACCAAAACTTATCTATCTGACCTCCTCAAGCCTCTCAGGCTTCTATCCTCTGCTAGGTAAATGAGTTAATCAGATAAGCAAATATATGATAATATGCCAGTGATTGTATTATCCTTTCTAAGTTTAATGCCTTCCTGAGAGGCCTTACCTAAGGAATTTGTCTAAGGAAAAGAGGGAGGTGCAATAGAGTTCCAGGCACTGTGACAGGTTTGTGGAAGAGATGTTTTATTTTGGTGGGCATTTCAATGCCTCTTAAATTACATCGAATAGGGTTTTGTCCATTCAGCCTCTTTGTAGAGCTAATACCATCCATGATTCAAAAACATGAGAAAGGACCTTCATTCATTCTGACCTTGCCTAAGAAATTAAGACTTTCCAAGTGACTTTCTTCTAAGCAACAAGTAAACCCTAGTGATGGAACAGAAATGGAACTAATTGAAATAACTTGGAAAATCATTCTTTTTCACAGACATCAATCTTGGCTAAAGTGTTTCAAAAATGATTGCTTCTTCAAAAAAAAGGAAATTAAAATATTATTCATTTCTCATGCAATTAAATTTTCCAAATGTACTGAGGTGCTAAAAAGAGTGTGTGTGTTTGTGTGTGTGTGTGTGAGACAGAGAGAGAGAGATGAGAGAGATTGAGAGAGAACTAAGGACTGGGAGATCTGAGTCTCAGCTCTGGCTTTGCCATTAATTCATTAAGAATAAAGTCATATGTTAATAGGCTAAGAATAACACCTGTCCAGTCCAGTTCAAACTACAGACCTAATTAACCTAATATTGTTTTTGTTAAAAAAAAAAATACCACCCAAATGTAATGTAATGACATTCACTGTTCACCAGCAAAGTACAAGCTCTGCACAATATGTTTGATGATTTGCTCTCCAATAGAAGAATTTGCCTGACCTTTAAATGCATTCTTTGTGATTTTGGTGAGAAGTGTAACATAGTGGTGGAATGAGAGACAGAAATATGATCATTTTGCTATGGAGAGTTTTGTTAAATTATTATTTCTTGATCATAAAAAGAATACAAAATGTTAGTTTTATGAATCCTATTTCAATGAATCCTTTTATTTTGTTTTGTTTTAGTCTTTTTCTCTTTTCTGGGGGGTCTGGAAATATAATTTCATCAGTATTAAGAATTCCTGGTGAGGAAGTTCTTTCCACTAATACAAATTAGCAATTGTTCTGCAATTTATAGTCTTAGAAACATGGTTCACTGAGAGAGTAAGTGTGTCAGGCAGCCTATATGTGTCAGGAAAACAGCCTGAACACAGATTTTCCTGACTCTCAGATCTGCTCTATCTACCACTACTTCTCTGTAGAGTGTATATATGTAGTATGATTTACTCATTTCTAAATGGAGTAGGAATAAAATATATCTCAGGACTCTATATACAAAGCCTATTTAGTTTTTAAATTATTTAAATTTTATTCTTTGCCATTCATCCAAGTTGAAATAAATATATCCCTTTGACTTTATATTAAATGGGTGCAAAAATTATTGCAATGACATAAATAGACAATTATTATTGTCTCTCTCACTGAGAGTTCCATTTATAACAAGGAGACAGATATTGAGGCAGTTTCTCTTTCAGGGTAGAGCTGTTTGCCTCAGGTTCCCTACCAACAATTCAACAAAAAATAGTGTATGATCATATAAAGTAAAATAAAAGAGGCAAAAATACCAGCCAGTCAAATATATAAAGGTTATACATGTCATTTTATAAATTAGATTCAGTTATCTAAGGTGTACATAATTAACAGGCATTAAATCAACCAATTATAGAAGCTGATTTAAACAATTAAATCTTGATGATTTTCTCCCTGATAAATCGTAAGAATCAAGCCCTCATTGTCAATAAATACTTTTGAATATTTTAAATCAGTCCTCAAACCTGGGCAGCATCCTGGAGATGAAATTATTAAATATGTATAGAAAAGATGGACAATCACAGTAAGGGAATATAAACTGGGTCCAAATCTTTAGTTTTCTTGAAAGGCAGGGGAAATGACTTTGCTTTATTATAGAGAGGGAAAGACAACAACTTAGCCATTTCCTCTTAGCTTCCATAGCAGCACTCTATATAGACATATTAAACTATGTGACTGGTGATCTTGTGACAATAGAGATTCCTTTTGAATCATTACCTTAATAGTATTATTGTGAGGAAGAAAACAATAACACATCTAGGCCCATCTAACTTTGCCAGTTCAATTTCCAAATGAGTTGCCACATAAAGGTCATCATCTCTACCATATTCCTTTTTTTAATATATACATTTTTGAGGCTTCTTAACAGAGAATAGAGTATAGCCTAAAGGAGCATCTCCTTCACCTGAACTTTCCTCTTGGGCTCCACTCATGACTCTTCATCTCACAGAAGCCTTCTCACCCTGGATGTTCGGTGATGATCATGGCGGGTAGGGGTCTTTCTTTTAGTCATTGCCAGCAAGATTCTTGCCAGAGTCCTCCTTAATAAGCTGATCCTTCACCTGGAAGAGAGTCATCTACCTGAGAGCCAGTGTGGCTTCAGAAAGGGCTGAAGGACAGTTGATATGGTGTTTGCTGCCCAGCAACTCCAGGAGAAATGCCAGGAGCAGAACAGAGGTCTGTATGGTTCATCAATCTGACCAAGGCCTTTGATACTGTCAGTTGTGAGGGTTTGTGGAAGATCATGGCAAAATTTGGTTGCCTGGAGAAGTTCACCCAGTATTTTCACCATTTCATGATGGCATGCTTGCCCAGGTTCTGGATGATTGATGATGTTCACACTTTCCCTTTCACCAATGGGAGCGAGCAGGGCTGTATGGTTGCTCCAATCTTTTCAGCATGATATATTCAGGGATGTTGTTGGATGCCTTCAACAAGGACAAAAATGGCATCAGTCAGCTACTGGTAAATTATCTAACTTGAAAAGACTACAAGTCAAGACTAAAGTGGAAGGGGAGTTAATGCATTTTTTTTGTTCACAGATCATTGTACATTCAATGTAGCCTCTGAAGCTAAGATGCAGCAAAGCATGGATTGATTCTCTGCTGCTTGTGCTAATTTGGCCTAACAATTAACACCAAGAAAACACAAGTTCTTCACCAGTCAGAATCACACCATCCATATGTGGAAACATTAGTTATAGCAAATGGAGAACTGTACTTTGACCCCAACATAGTGATGTCATTTTGGTCCTCTTTGAGAGCAAAGGACAACCACCAACCAACTCCAGACCCTCATTCTCTGATTTATGATCCCTATAATTACCTGCTCTCTTTTCTTTGTATTCCTCATGCAATCAAAGCTTCCAAGATATCCATTCTAGGCTCTTTCTTCTAGGCAGTTTTTCCTAGGCAACATTAAGACACTTTCTACTAAGCCCAAGCCATTAATTATTGTAATCTGCAGCAATGGAGGGAACGACCACTTCAAATAAAATCACAGATCCAAGAGCCTTTTTCCTGTCCTTGACCATCCAGTACCATTTGACATTGTGAATCACCCAATCCTTCATAATACTCTTTCCTCCCTCCTTTTTTCCTACCATTTTATAGTTCTTCAACTTCTCTGACCACTCATTGGGCTCTTTTAGTGGCTTTTCATGGTACACTGGAAAAGTATTAGCTCTGGAATCAGAGGATCTAAGTTCAAATACCACTTCTGATAAATGTTTCCTGGGTCTCCATTTCCTTATCTATAAAAATGAGGAGATTGGACTATATAACCTCTAAGGTCTTTTGGCTCTAGATCTATAATGCTGTGATAGGTCCCTTAAACTTAAATGGTATTTCATGATTCTGGCTTCTCTCTTTCATTTCTTTCTCATAGGAAAATAGGAAAAGACTGAAAAGGACCTTAGTGATTATTTGGTCCAAACCACCATTTTCCCAATAAGGACACTGAGGACAAGAAAGGTTAAGTTACTTTCTCATATTCATATAGCCGGAACATGACTTAGATGGCATTTGAATTCAGGTTGATTAGACCAATGGTCTCCAAAGTGGGTACCCTGTGACCCCACAAAGCCTTGACATGATCCCAGGGAACACATGACCAACTAACTAGAGGATGGATTGCATTCCACACTCCCCCTGATAGTGAATTCCACACTTTGTTTTCAACATAACCACACCATCCCCTTTATCCCTTATCATCTAATACTTCTCCATTTTGCCCATTGTTCTCCTATGCATTCTCAGTTTGAGAGTGAGGTTGTCAGGTGAGAACCTTATGCTCCAAATGCTGTACCCTCTTATTATAACATAACTCTGACCCAAATGCTCACACTTACAACTGTGTGGGTACCATTGGGATGATTCCCTCCATCCTCAACCACCAGCATACCCACATCTTACACTTCAAATTGTCTTGTGGCTTGTAATAGATGCCTTTCAATGTCCTCTGTGCTTAGGGAGGCTGGCCATCAGTAAGAACACTACTCCGTGCCTTTCATTTTTAATGAGTTTCACAAGATAAGAAAGCATGGTTGAGTTGTAATCTGCATCACAGATCTCATTACATTATCTCTCCTCTCAAATCTACCCATCTTCTAATCCTCCTTATTTCTGTCGAAGATACCACCACTTTTCCAGTCACCAAGGTTAGCAACTTTGGCATCATTCTCAGTTCCCCACTCTCACTTATACTCCCTCCCCATCAATTTATGATCAGTTGTCAAATCTTGTCATTTTTACCTCCACAAAATTTCTCCTATCTACTTCTCTATACTTATATAGTCTTACGCTAGCTCAGGTCTTCATCACCTCTCATCTAAACTACTAAAATAGCCTCCTATTTGGTCTCCCTAATTCAAATTTCTCCTCAACTTCAACCAGTTCTCCAAACATCTACTAAAGTGATTTTGTTTAAGTTCAGATAGGATCATATTATTCACTATTTCATAGTACATAGTGGGTACTTAATGAGTGTTTATTCCCTTCTCTTCCCTTTTGAAGGCCCTGAGGTTCTTTCAAAAAGAAGTCTTGAATTTGAAGTCAGAGAATAAATGTTTAAATACTTACTCTGTCACGTTTTACTTTTGTAACATTGGGCAAATAATTTAACCACCCTGACTTGGATTGCTCAATTTGGACTAGATAACTTTTAATCACCCCCCCCCAATCTAAATATATGGTCTCATGAATTCTTTCTTCATCCCTTCTTTCTCTTTAGTTGCCACCTCTTGCAGGAATCTCTTCATTACTCCTCAACTCCTTTGCCCTAACCTCTGCTAAGTTAAAGTGATCTCTCACTCTTCAACTTTTTCTTAAATCTTTTCCTAGACTTTATCATACCCTTCCCTCTTGTATCATAGTTATTTGTCTGTCTATATATCTCCCTTCCCATTTAGGCTTTAAAATCTTTGAAAGCAGAATCTGCCTTGTATCTGCATTTGTATGCTTAGCATCTTGTACAATGCCTTGAACTTATTTGATTTTTAGTACATATTTGTTGAATTTTATATTTTGAAATATTGGTTAATTTCAGTCAGAGGCAGAGCTGAGCATCAGTCTGGCTACTAAAAGATAATGTTTCTAAATAAAACCATTGGTGCTTAAAAGTTGCCCCCCAAAGAGCCTTATGAAAATAATTTTGAAATATTGTTTCCACATGATTAAAAGTCATCTTATATAAAAATAGAGATTTATCTTATATGCACAGTATGAATACAGCATTAACTGAATAAACACATATTGGGTCATCAGGGAATTTTCCTTGAAGAGTATATTTTAAATTGGGTACTGGGGGAGCAGCAGAATGATGCAAAGAGATAAAGATGTCATCTGACATATCCATAGGCCTCTTTCCTGCCTATTTTTTTTGTCTCTGATGCCAGGTGAGAAGCCTTTCTCTAAATTTAGAATTAGTGGGGGTTTCAAAATAGCAGACTGAAATATACTTTAACTTATGATTGAGTACATCCTTTATCATGTCACCTATAAAAGTGGTAATTCTGTTATGTCCTTTTCTTTCTAGATACTGAGAAGAGCAGACAAAAATGGTAAGACCAAATGGTTTCAGTTTCTTCTTTTTCTATCTCCTCTTTTGTCAATCATGTCATAAAGGGCACTACCCAAGTGGAAAACAGAACCTAGCCCACTTGCAACATCAATCATTGAACCAGCATAGTTAGACCTAAAGATTCGTGTTAAAGTAGAAGAGGTCTTACATTTTACTTCAGGAGAGACATGCTACCTGGAGCCTATGGTACACGAGGGCCATTGCCAATGGCATTTTTTTTCTATTGCACCTTAAATATATTTGTAAAAAAGTAGAAAGAGATCTGGACTAGGATTAGAAGATGGGAGTTTGAATCCATACTAATTACTACACATATGACCTTAGAAGGTCTGTTCATAAATAACTGATGTTTACATAACACTTTAAAATTTGAAAAGTAATTTCCATGTATTATCTCATTTGAGTCCATAATAACACTGGAGGCTATGGATATGAGTATTCTAATTTTTCAGATGAGGAAACTGAGGCTCAGAGACCTTAAGTGACTTGCCATGATCACATAACAAGTGTGTGAGGCAGGATTTGAAACTTGTATCTTCCTTACTCTAAATCCAACAATTTGTCCGCTATATCATGCTTTGATTCTCAGTTTCTTCACATGTAATATGTGGGTAATAATAGCTTTTCTAGCCATGTTGCATGGGTTTTGGTGGATAATTGCCTTTAAAATTGTAAACCACTATATACTTGGAAGCTGCTATTATTGTTGGATAAACACAGAGACAGTTGCCCAGGAGCTGCCACTGAATGCCTGGGAGAGTATCTGGAAAAGTGCATGACTACTCCCTTTATCCACAACAGTGAGAAGACAAACCCTATAGGGAATAATCATGTCTGATAGGCAAATGTAGATGGTATTACAATTCAATTTCCATTTTAATTATTGTCAACGACCAAGTCACTGTAATAAATGCATTTTGATTATTTTAATAAACCAAAAAACTGTGTATTTCAAAAAGCACCCTTCAGCACTATAATATGGGCTACCAAATTATGGTTTATTATTAGTGTAATACTGGGGCCATGATAGGACATCTTGAAGTGATTTTTTTGGCAGACTAGAGATGTATTGAACTCCTTCCCTCTCACAGAATCTCATATTCTGCCTGTGCATAGAAATTACTGTCAGAATGCAATTCTGACATGTTAAATACATGTACTTTGTTAATCCTTAAGCAGTTTTATGAGTAAGGTACTGGTTGACCATTACACATCTCTGCACAATTGGCAGAAATCATTCATAGAGGCAATAGACTGATAATATTTGGTAACTGAACTATATCTTCCCAATAGAATCTTTTCTCAAACTGAGTTGTAGAAACTGGTGCTATTGAATCAGTGTACATTTTTAAGCAAAATTAGTGGGTTCATTTTTACTGTCAGGTGAAATGAACTGTTAAATGATTTTCTTATCCCTGTCTTTCTATATGGTATTGATTGACACCAATTAGTCTTGCCTGATTGTCCTCCCTCCAGTCAGCCCAAGGCAAAAAGTGGCTTGGGGATCTCACTTGATCTGTGTTCTTCTTCCACCTCACAACGTCTCTCCCATTATATCCTATTCTCATGTGGTCCCTTGTGGCTTCCCACAGTTTTTTAAGATTCCCTATCGATTTTTTGATGTTTTTCTTAAGATTTGATGTCCAGAAATTATCACAGTCCTCCAGAAGTGATCTCACCAGAGCAGGCCAAAGGACTTCCACTTCCCTTATTTTAAGCACTTTTGGACTTAACCTGTGATTTCACTGGTATTGGGAATTCCTGGTAAAGAAACACCCTTAACTGATGCAGATCAAACGATTCCATAATTTATAGCCCAAGAAAGTGGTCTGAGCTACTCTGTCTTGCCCAATCAGGATGAGTCAGAGGTGGAAACCAAACCTAGGTTTTCTCTCTGAGACTGGCTTTTTAAACTGTGGACCACATTATGTTGCCTCCGGACACACTAGATACTATGCCTGTCAGTGCAGCCCAAGACATGGACTTTTTAAGAAGAATTTTGACCATGCTGTGATTTCAACAGTGTGGGAAATTCTCCAGTGTGAAACATCCTCCTCATGACAGATAAGCACCATCTCTGCAACTTTATTTTCTTGGAGTTCTCAGGGTCACTGAGAGGATCAGTGACTTCCTAGGTTCCTACCACCAATATGGGTCAAAGGTGGGATTTAAACCCAGGTTTTCCTGACACCATGACCAGCTTTCTATCCACTAGATCATATTGCTACTTTTATAAAAATGGTAAACAGCATAGGATGAAGCACAGATGTCTGTGTCTCTGTGGTAGGGGCTTTTCCCAAATTAATCTCTCAGCCGGTGACTACTTCATGCACCCAGTCACTCAACAAATCCAGATCAACCTAAACATGACTATGAGGCCCGTACCTATCTATCTTACCCACAAGGACAGTGCAGTATGAGAAACATTTTCAAAAACTTTTGAAATTTGATGGACTAATTTTATAAAAGAGTTAATAATTGATAATTTCCAATAATGTTATCCTACACAAAGTCAGTTTGTTGGTTTTTAAAGAGTAGATAGTACCTTAACTGAATTCAATTCAATACACATTTTTAACATTAATTAAGTACTGTGATAGGGAGTCAATGATAAATAAGACCCAGCTACTTTCGAGGGAGTCTTGCTCTATGCAGAGATGAGCAGAAATGTTTTATGCTCAATAGGTACATAACATAAAGTAGGGCAAAAGAGAGATCCAAATGTGTTCTAGGAAATTTTGGGTAGGATCAGAACACGTTCAGATGAGGGTATTTGGGAAGGATCCTTGAGGAGCTGGCATGTTTAGTTTGATGTAAGTTTAATAGATGTTTAATATTGGTAGCAGTAGTCCAGTTTAGTTGGAAAATATGAAGAAAAATAAAGCAAAATTGGGCTGAGAATGTAGGTTAGAGCCTTAGAAGACAGACTGAAGAGCTTGTCTTTTATCCCAAAAGCAATTGGGAGTCACAGGTTTTTGCAAGGGGGTGATCAAAACCTATAAACTGTGAAGATTATTTTGTCAAGGTTGTCAAGGGATGCATTGAAAAAGGGGGAAACCACAAGCGAAACCAGTTACTAGGTTATTACAATAGTTGAGGAAAATGTGATATGGGCTTGAACTCAGGTAGTCCTAGCATGAATGAAAAAGAGGGGATGAATATGATAGATATTTGAAGGTAGAATGGACAAGAATTGGCAGCTGATTGGATGTGCTGGCTGAAGGAGAGGAAGGGCTCAAAGAATATTTTAAAGTTTTGAAGTTGGATGACTAGTAGGATGGCAATGCTCTCACCAAAAATAGGGAAGCTGAGAGGAAACAGAGAACAAGATGAGCTCACTCTTGGACATATTATGCTTGAGACAGGCAGTTGGTGATGCAGTGAATAGAGTTCTGGGCCTGAAGTCAGGAAAACTCATCTTCCTGAGTTCAAATCTGGCCTCAGACACTTACCAACTGTAAGACCCTGGGTAAGTCATTTAACCTGTTTGCCTCAGTTTCCTCCTTTGTAAAATAAGCTGAGGAAGGACATGGCAAATTACTCCAGTGTCTTTGCCAAGAAAACCCCAAATGGTGTCACGAAGAGTCAGACATGATTGAAACAACCGAATGATAACAACAAAATGTTTGAGAGGCCCATGAGATAGCCAAGAGATATACAGTGGGCAGCAGTGATGTGGGATTCGAATACAGTGCATAGATTTACTGGATATTTAGGTTTAGTAATTATTATTAATAGTAAAAGAGAAGAGAAATACATACCTATATACATATATTCATATATACATATATTCCTATATATACATACATATATTCATATGTATTTTTAATGTACATATGCTAACATCATGAGACAGCAAAGAGAATGAAAATTTAAGTATACAGAAGGCCTGAGCTTGTTATATAGGGGATGCAAATAGGAAAAGTAGGGAAAGACAGAAGATGAAAGATGAAGTGAGAGAAAGGGAGAAGTTAAAGGGAATGGAGGGAAGGAGAATATGAATTATGAAAAAGAAAATAGGGAGGTAGGTGATCAAGGATGCAAATAGATGGTATTAATTTGCTATAGGGGTGGACTATTTTATCCTCTGACACTGGAGCAAAAGGAGAGAGAAGATTTTGAAGAAAAGGAGAAATGACAGAAGGAGAAATGACAGAACTCATGGTCAAAGACCTGTTTTCAGTAAAATAGGTTGTGAAATCATCTGCTGAGAGAAAGCACAGCAGGGTGAGGTTGTTGCTGTTGTTTGCTGTTTGTCCTTCATTCCTTTGTAAAAAAGGAGGAGAAGGTTGAAAACAATGCTTATAGGGATGTTAAATGGAGACATGAATGTGTGATGGGCCCAATCTTTATTCCGCAAGTAATGTTGGGTGTCTCAGGAGTATGATATGATTTGAGAAGGCATATGGGGGATGTAGCTTGCTGCTGAACTCATATCCCAAAGAGGCCAAAGATAGAAAGAAGGGTTGCACATAGGCCAAATGTTTATAGCAAAAACATTTTCTGGAAACAGTAAAATTGGAAGCAAAGTGGGTGCCCATCAATTAGGAATAGATAAATAAATTGTGTTATGAAATGATGGACAGAAGGAGTTCCAAGAGGCATGGAAAAATACATAATCCAATGCAATGAAGTAAACTGATATAGGAAAACAGTATACACTAAACATAAAAGAATAAAAACAACACAGTGATTTCGCCAAAAATCTAATACACATTAAATGGGAAGAATGAAATTTTAATCATTATTAAGATGAATGAACTCTTAGATTCCTTCTGTATCTAAATTTATTATTCTATGATTCTTTTTTGGGGGGGGGGGGCTAGGCAATGGGATTAAGTGACTTGCCCAGGGTCACAAAGCTAGTAAGTGTTATGTGTCTGAGGCCGGATTTGAATTCAAGTCCTTCTGAATTCAGGGCCGGTGCTCTATGCAATGTGCCACCTAGCTGCCCCTTATTATTCTTTGATTCTGATACAC